CAAACAGCAAATCGAACAGCAAATCATACATTGCAAATCAAACAGCAAATCATACATTGCAACTCGAATAGCAAATCGAACAGCAAATCATACATTGCAAATTGAACATAGCAAATCGAATCAAACAGCCGATTTAGGGCAAATCGANAATCGATTCGTACATATCGATTCATACATATCATACCCTAAATCGATTCATACATATCATACTCCAAATCGAATCAAACAGCCGATTTAGGGCAATCGATATCAAACCCTAAATCGAATCAAGATCGTGTCTGCGTATGAAGGAGATGAAGGTACCTGTCGTATTTCCTGTCGTATTTCACCCTAAATCGAATCAATATCGTGTCTGCGTATGAAGAAGATGGAGGTATCTGTCGTATTTCACAAACCCGGTAGATGAAGGTACCTGTCGTCGAGATGAAGGAGATGTCGGCGAGATGGAGCGACGGGGAAGACCATGTCTGCATGGAGCGACGGGGAAGACCGGTAGATGAAGGTACCTGTCGTCGAGATGAAGGAGATGCCGGCGAGATGGAGCGAGGGGGAAGACCGTGTCTGTGTGGAGCGATGGGGAAGACGGTAGATGGGTATATTTGTAAAATATTACCTTGTTCCACTTAGTTCCAGGGGGTGAGGGTGAACAGGCTTGTCCCATACGTGTTCCACTTAGAAACACACCAAACATGGGACAAGTGTGTCATATCCTGTCCTGTCTCACCTTGTTCCACGTACCAAACACACCCATATATATGTATACCTCTTTTTCTCTCTAATCTCTTTTAATTAAATATGCACACAAATAGTATATGCATATTCACACGACATATATATATATGTGTGTGTATGTGTGTGTACACCTAATAAATAAGTAACTTGGGTGACACGTGTCATCTTCTGGTGAGGCGGTTATCTTATTTTCCCGCTTAAACATGTATCTAGACATAATTTACATTAATGGTTCAATTAGACTCATTTGAACGTATCTAGACACAATTTACATTAACAGTTCAGTTATATTCATTTGATTGACATGTGTCATCTTATTCAATCAATTCTACTAATTTAGGATGCAATTGGTTTTATTCTTTGGTTAATTAATTCGTATGGTAACTGATTCCAGAAAAAAATGGTGTTTACTTCTAAATTTAAATCCAATTTACTAATATAATTTAATTTCTAAATTCAACTTTATTCTATGGTTAACTTCATTTTATTCTAAATTTAATTCACTGAAAGTTTTACTTCAGAGTTATTTCAAGAGAAAAAGTCTGAAGTCATTCTTGAGAGTTAGCTCACTCGAACTCTAGAGTCTGAACTCTGAAATCATCTTTTTTCAGACTTAGAAGTCTGAACTCTGAAGTCTTTTTTTAGACTTAGAAAAAGAAGTCTGAAGTCTTCTTTTTCAGACTTAAAAGTCTGAACTCTGAAGTCTTTTTTATAGAATTAGAAAAAGAAGTATGAAGTCTTCTTTTTCAGGCTTAAAAGTCTGAACTCTGTAGTCTTCTATAATTCTGAAGAGTACAAGTCTGAAAAGTCATTCTTCAGAGTTAGCTCACTCGAATTCTGAAGTTTTCTTTTTCAAACTTAGCTCATCGAACTTCGAAGTTTGAACTCTGTTTTTCCAGACTTAGAAGTCTGAACTCTAATTTAATGAGATTGGTTTTATACTTCAGAGTTATTTCAAGAGTACAAGTCTGAATAGTCATTCTTTAGAGTTTTATTTTAGAGTTATTTCTAGAGTACAAGTCTAAAGAGTCATTCTTCAGAGTTAGCTCACCCGAACTCTGTAGTCTTCTTTTCCAAACAGATATCATGTAGAGCCTCTGCATAGTGCATGCAAAGCTTCTGCCTTGCCTATACAGAGCTTTAAAGTCTGAAGAGTTTTACTTCAGAGTAATTTCAAGAGTACAAGTCTTGTAATAAACTTATCTAGACTTTGAAGATAAGTCTTTAAGACTTAGACTTAGTCTTGTAAGTCAGAGTCCCTCTGGTTGGTCTGGCTTATGGATGTCAGAGGAGCTCTGGTTGGTCTTGCTCTGTATGATGCAAACTTTACCATGAGGTCTTCTTCAAATATATTGGATATTTGAATAACTATGAACTCAAGATCTTCATATTTCGTCTTCAGATTTGACACAGACGCTCTTCTAAGTTTAAATTCAATTTACTGAAATAGTTTCATTTCTAAATTAAATTTTATTCTAGGGTTAACTTCATTTTAACTAATTATTGATATAGTTTCGTTTCTAAATTCAAATCTGAAGAGTCATTCTTTAGAGTTATACTTCAGAGTTATTTCAATAATACAAGTCAGAAGTCATTCTTCAGAGTTTTACTTTAGAGTTATTTCAAGAGTACAAGTCTGAAGTCACTCTTCAGAGTTATCTTTCAGAGTTATTTCAAGAATACAAGCATGAAAAGTCATTCTAAAGAGTTAGCTCACCCGAACTCTGAAATATTCTTTTTCAGACTTAGAAGTCTGAACTCTGAAGTCTTTTTTTTAGACAAAAAAAAAAGTCTGAAGTCTTCTTTTTTAAACTTAGAAGTCTGAACTCTGAATTCTTCTACAAGTTTGAAGAGTCATTCTTCAAAGTTAGCTCACCCGAATTCTGAAGTCTGAACTCTGAAGTCTTTTTTTTTTAGACTTAGAAGTCTGAACTTTGATTTAGTGTGATTGATTTTATACTTCAGAGTTATTTCAAGAGTACAAGTCTGAATAGTCATTTTTCAGAGTTTTACTTCAAAGTTATTTCCATACTACAAGTCTAAAGAGTCATTTTTCAGAGTTAGCTCGCTCGAATTCTAAAGCCTTCTTTTCCAGACGGAGCACCATGTAGAGCACCATGCAGAGCCTTTGCATAATGCATGTAGAGCTTCTGGCTTGCCTATACAAAGTTTGAAGAGTTTTACTTCAGAGTTAATTCAAGAGTACAAGTCTGAAGTCATTCTTCAAAGTTATTTCAAGAGTACAAATCTGAAGAGTCATTCTAATATTACTTCTAAGTTTAAATTTAATTTACTGATATAGTTTTATTTCTAAATTTAATTTAATTCTAGGGCTAACTTTATTTTAACTAATTATTGATATAGTTTCATTTCTAAATTCAAGTCTGAAGAGTTATACTTCAGAGTTATTTCAAGAGTACAAGTCTAAAGGAGCATCGTACTTTCGATGATCATTCATATCTGTAAGATAAGTTCCTGACATGATTTAATTTTTTTTTTCAAATTACACCATGTAATACACGGGATCGAACCTAGTATGTGTGTGTATATATATATATATATCACATACACAAATGAAACACCACATTTATCTTCATGTTCCCACATTGATCGACCACTTCTTCTCCAGCACCCCTCCCTCTCTATCACCGATAAACATCAAAACTCTTTCCCACTTACCATTGATCAAGAATTTTCCACACCCTCTCCCAATCTTTTCTTCATCGTTTTGACCTTCGAAGCATTTATATAACAGTGACAAAACAGATGAAAGACAAGCACCATAAATGTGTCTCTGGGTATTTGGGTGTCAGTGAACAAGGAACAGTGGTTGTGATTAGATTTTGACTTTTTTTTTTTTGGTAAACTAGAATCAGAATTGGACTTACAGATGGGTGTCATAAAAACTTCAAAACGGTGAAGAGAAGTTTCATAAAATCTTCAATTGGGTTCCATAACAGTACCACACATGCAACTTTCCCATTCATGACTCATTTCTGCCCTAAAAGCCTCTTCTTAAGCAGTAAGATGCCAGAGAGAAGTTACATACCAATTCCATCCCAAGTGTTTCGAATGTTATGACTTTAGTTAACTCATGAGTTATGACCCATTTCTTTTGTGAAGGTGTGCTTTTATATTTGAAACATAGGTTGAGT